TAACATACAAAACCTTAATGTAGCGCTCGGGAAATTGAAGAAGAAGAGAAAAAAAAAAAGGGGGGGCCACGTCAGCAGCCATGTCAGCAAACCCAGTCAGCAGTCCCGGCCAACCGGGACCTGCCATATGGCAAGACCACGTCGATCCGGGACGGGCCACGTTGGCGATCCGCGTGCGCGCGATCGGACGGTCCAGATCAATCGCGCGCACGGACGGTCCAGATTTAATCAAAAACGGACGGCCCAGATTAAATCAAAATAGACGGCTAAGATCAAAAGGCAAAAGGGTATAAATAGAACCCCCACACCAGACCACAAAACCCTAGCCGCCTGCCCTCGCCGAAGAAGACGAACCAGAGCCGGCCGCCGCCACCCGCCGCCGCACCGGGGAGATTTCCGACCGCCGATCGAGGTAAATTTCATACCCCCGACTCGTTTTTCCAAGCTGATTTCTCCAGTGGCCAAATCGGAGCCAAAATCTCGGCCAAACGACCGAAAGCCAGCGGCGCTGCCGCGTCCCTCCTCGGTTTTTGCCTCCGATGAGGCCCTTCCCGGCCTCCGTTTAATGCAATTTTTATATCACCGTGATCACCATTCTTTTCTCTACAGGTTGATCGGAGCCGAATCACCAAAACACGAACTTCACCAGAGAGCCGCCGCACCCGAGAGCACCGCCGCCGGTAAGCTTCGGTTTTCCGTAAATTTTCGGCCCCCCGAGGGCCGTAGGGTTGTTTTATCGCAGAACCAATGCGAGTGTGGCCGAATTTCGGTCGGAAACGGCCGAAAACGGCCAACCCGAGGCGAACCGCCGCCGCAAGCGGCGGCGCCGTCGCCGGAGCACGGCAGAGCCGCCGTGCCGGATTTGCGATATTGGCCGAAAGGGGCCCTGGGCCTAATTTGGGATTTTTTGGAACACGTGCTTGTACCAGTATTGCGTTTCCTTTCCCCTTTAAAAATTCATTTAAAATTAGGGATTTTGGGATTTCTTTTGTGAATGTTGTTCGGACCCCGAAACGAGTAAAGACCCCTCACCCTATTTCCTATCACGGTTTTAAAGTTCAATAAATGATAAAACGGTATTTCATGAATCTACATTTGTGTGAAGTTGCTTAAGGTCATTAATGGAGTCCGAGTCTACTGTGTATGTCATGCAACTGAAATGTGATTGGTTTAAGTTTTTCTCCAGGCTAATGTTTTATGCTTTATGAAACTTATTATAACGCGCTAATAGTTATTTCTTATCATCAGAAGCTTCATATATTACGTAATTTATTCATTTCACTAATCAAGCCATCTTGGATAGAAACTTTGAAACTGAATAAAATCATCTGTCAAATTAGATTGAATGAAAACTAATCCTTTAACAGATATATTTCTTATTTCAACCAAGAATCTTGATACAGCATCCATAATATTCTCTTGTGAAGTTCTGATTGTGATACAAAGAAATGAGCCTCTTATCTTATGGATATTCCATACGAACTTTTGGTCTCTTGCAGCCTGTACTAGCTGTAATGTATCTGGTGCAGTACATGCCAACCATCGGCTACTGGCTTATGGACAAGGTACCTACTTTTTCCCCGATCCTTCCATTAAAATTTGTTTTCTCTTCGATATTTCTTGCTGATTTTTGTTCTCGTGTCCATGAAATATGTTCTACTTCTATGTATATACCTCACGGCTGTACTTGTCTATTTATTACTGTGCATGCTGAAAATATTTATGGAATTACGTTCTCGCAAATTTATGCTACTGTGTGCTAATTTGCCTCAAATCTCTTGAAATATTTGATAGATTGGAGCGAATCGAGTTGAAGCTGCTAAAGAGAAAGGCAACGCATACTCACTGCGGTTATTGTTTGGTAAGAAGAAAGCAGCTTGAACGGGACACCATTTTGCTCTTTAACTGTCAAAGAGTGCAAGCACTACTCTCTCTTCCTCGTATCATTTATATCGTAGACTGTTCTGAGGAAGAATAACAATAATAGTTCTTACCCCTGTCCGATGAGATTTTCCTTTCATTTGTTGGAGGGCTGATGCAATTCCAGTTTGGAACTTATGTTAAATTGAGTAATTCATTTAATAATATATATCTTTATCATTTAAATAA